GTCGGTCGGTCGGTCGGTCAGTTAGTTATTTATTTAACTGTGTTTAAAACAGATTGTACAACGATGTTTCAAAACAAACGCTCTACAAAACTGTAATGCTGCTGCTAATATTTCCCTGACAGCTGAAGAAGACATCCCACAATGAACAGCTGGTTTGGGTGGTTAATGATTTGACTGCTGCAGGTAAACATTAACCTAAATAAACTAGCACCAAATATCAATGTGTGATTTCTGTTTTTACCAAATAAAATACACAAATTATCTGTTTAAATTTGACAGCTAAACTAATAAATGACCAGACTCTTACCCTTGGCCTGGTGCCACACCAGTCTCTATGAGTGGGATATTCAGCTGTTTCCTCTCCTGTAGCTTCCGCTCTTCTTTGACATGACTGTGCAAAAATAAAAAATAAAAAAAGAGAAATGCTATAAAACAGTGTAAAATTCACAACTTTTTAATCTCCTCGCAGAAACAACTTACCCGTCTGAAACTGGTGGGTCTTTTAAAACTATGACATCATCTTGGCCTTTTGCAAACTCCACAACAAGAGTCTGATTMAGAATCTCCAACTGATGGAGCCTGCTGAGAGCCTGGGAGAGACGTTGAGGAGTGAACATGGTCCTGTGGACAAACTAATACCAAAAAAGAGGAAGTCTAGAGAAACGACCGACCTTTGCTGCCATCTTCTCACTTCTGAATGTTGCGAGAGCTGCATGTTTCTGTGGAGACAATCTGTTCACTGTGTTTGAACTCAAACGATTTTAAACGACATTAAGGATCATATCATCACTTACAAAACGACCCCAGTTCGAGAAGACTCTGACTGATTCAGCTCCAAAATACTTCAGGAGGTCCTCCTTCTCCTCCTGGCTGAGCTCAGCTGGTAGGTGACGAATGATGAGAGTTTTGCTGCCKTTYCCTGCTTCATTCTTTTCCATTGTCCTGTGTGGGCAATAAGTCAGTTGGTTTAAATAGGAGGGCTATTTAAATGTTTATTTTAAAAGATCCAGTGAAGTCCATCTTGTACACTAATCATGTCTGTGTAGTTACCATCTGCATCTCTCTAATTCAAGACTTTTGTGTTAAAATAGCTATTAATTTAATTAAAAAATGATGATACATGTATACCGAATTAAAAATTTATTTGTCTTAATTTCTTAAGTATGTTTAACGTTCCTATAAACGATTTGATTTAACGTAGAAAAGCAAGGCAACGTAAAATCACAATTTCTTTCAATGAACTTTGGCTCGCAATCGAGCTAGCTCGTTGCTTATGCTAACACCAAGAAAGGTAAATTAACGTCTTTTTCTATTTATTCTATTTTKAGAACGGGTGACTAGGCAAATATAAATAAAACACGCACAAATACAACACAAAAAGCACTAAAACATTGTAAATAAGTCAAAATTCGGTGGATTTATTACACACCTGCTTCGTAATCAGGTTGACTTCCGGTTGGCGCTTCTTCTTCTTCGTTTGGATTTTGGCAGACTCAGAGAGATTGAGTGCGATGCTGCCCCCATCTGATAAATAAACGTCACTGCTTCATTTTAAACTATGATTATGTGTCTTAAAATATAAAAACTAGATGTTTTAACATAAAAATAAGAAATATATMTTTCTGAATTAATACAGAGATAATTTCACAACAGGTTTCACAAATTTTAAAGCTGTTTTTGCTTGTCCTTTTAAATTTAGTTACCCCAGATCTGATCACATATATCCAAACACATATCTTACATTACATAAATTGTTATATTGAAGTCTAATTTCTTTAATGGTTACATTGGAAATACTGTTTTGATTGAAATTGCTAATTTTTTAATAATAAAAAGACAATTTCCCCTCCATATTTTTGATAGTGCCTTTTAAATTTAGTTGACTCATTTGTCAGGGCTAACATTTTCTTCATTAACTTTTAAATACAACTTTAAGACAACATTGTTTTTAAGTCAAATATTTTATAAATCAGGAGATGGGTTTTAATGTAAAGTTTCAGAAAATAATAGCAAGTAACTCAACACATTTACATTAACGTCTGTACAGCTCTGGTTGAGTTTCACCAGTAGATGTCAGCCTAATCATAGGAAAATGTCCTTTCTGCTTGTGTAGAAATGTGTGTACTATGAGTGTGTGTACTTTTTGTTACCYTTTTAGGACCTTTTGCAGGTATAAACACCTACCCTGTCTGGACCAATACTTCTTTTGGGGACTGAAGCCTGGTTAGGGTTTGGATTTGGTGATAAATGAATCAATACACGGTCCTAATATGGATAGAAATACGTGTGTGTGTGTGTGTGTGTGTGTGTGTGTGT